TGTGCTAATATATTTACTATTTGTAGTTAAATGTACATATGCATTTTCAGATAAATTTTCAATAAACCAATTTAAAAATTATTTATATTTTTTTCATTTTTTAGATTTTTGCGAAATTGTTCACTTTAAAAATTCCTTTCTAAAGAATCTGAAGGGAAAAAATATTTTGTCTATTTTTGTTTTATTTTCCAGACTACTTCTTATTATAACAATTATGCACGACACCAATATATTTGATCCAAAGTTAGTATCACTTATTTATTTGTCTTAATATTTTCATGTTTTATCATTTTTCTTTCGCTTTATATAAAATAGAACAATGATGCACAACAGGTTTTTCTTGATTTTTTCAAGAGGAAAATGACAAATGTATTTCATACTTCTCTAGCCTATAAAAAGTCTATAACTTTATTGATGTTTCTTGAGAAAAGTGTTTTTTCGAAAAATATGCATACACTAAATTTGTTTATTTAAATCAGTGTTTCCCAACGTGGGGCGCACGCCCCACCTGGGGCCAATTTGTAATTTCAGGGGAGCAATTTGAAAATTTTGGTGATTTTAATGTACTGTAGTATCGGCAAAACATTTAACAAAAAAAAAAATGCTTCTTAGATTTAGAATAATAAGGTGTCCCGGTTTGGCTGCGACGGTTTTAGTTTTCAATCTTGCTTTCCTGTTGCCGGAATTATGTTTTTTCTGCCGGGTTGACTTGACTTTCTAAAAAGTTTAGCTTGAATTAGATTTTTTCTCATTACTTACTTTATAATAAAATTACAACTACCCATTTTAATCTGAAAATGATATATGCAATAAACTTTATATAAATCTAACAAAAACATTATGAAATAATGTTAAAAAAATTTTTTTTTTTTAATTTTTTTTTTGAAAAAATTTTTTTTTCTTTATTTTGACATATTTTGGAAGATCTGAACTTTTTTTCGAAGCAATCGTACTGCTTTAACTGCATAGAGACAAAATATGAAGCGCGTAAGCGCCGCGTCGCTGTCTAACGGATAAACATTGGTACGGAACCCATAGGAATGTAAACAAAATTTATACTTATTGTTAAAATCTCTATAAAATATCTGACAATTTGATGTGCATAAGTCTAATGATCATTTTTGACCGCCAAATGGCATTTTTTTACTTTTTTCATTAGAACTCCGAAAACGCTAGACCTGCCTTCATGAAAATTTGATAAGTTCTTCATCTTGTCAATAGAAGTAAAATGTTTTCTGAATTATTAAAACCGCACGCTCCGTTCTCTTAAAAACTGAGTTACCGTTTCCGGCACTTTTTGCCCCGTATCTTCGGAACGGCTAGACCTGCCTTTGCCAAAAACTAATCAGCACGTCTCCTTATCAATACAAATCGAATGTTTTTTGAATTATTCAAATCAGTCGATCCGTGTTCCCGAAATCGTCGACGAAAATTTGTATCCGACACACATACATACACGCACAAACACACATACATCCATTTTTTCTAAGGTATGCCAAAATATTCAAAAACCTTTGAAACGTCGAGAAATGCAAAAATTTTCATTTTCGATTTTTTTGCGATTACTATAACTTGTCCTACGGGAAGTTAACAATAGTTCCGGTACGGAACTTAAAAAAATGAAAAAAAAAACTTACTCAATATTAAAGTCTCTATAAAATATCTAATAATTTATTTAAAAAACTTAAATTTAAATTTAAAGAGATTTAAATATCTAATAATGTCTTATGTCCAATGATAATTTGTGACCCTTAAATGGCAATTTTTGAACTTTTTTCTGGATCTCTAAATCTACGCGACTCGGCCTCCTAAAAATTTTTATTACTTCTTCACACCATCATACCAGTGAATTTTTTTTTTTGAATCATTCAAATCGGTAGCTCCATTCTCTTCCAAAGTTGAGCTCATTCCAAATTGAGCACCGACTGAATTGCTGTTTCATGTAGGTTTTGCCCAGTATCTTTACGGGGCAAACGACTGGACCTGCCTTAGCCAAAACATTCACATATCCATTTTTTCTAAGGTATGCCAAAATGTTCAGAACCATTTGAAACGTAGAGATATACAAAAACAATATTTTAGATTTTTTGTGATTACTATAACTTACCCCACGGGACGTTAAAAGAGTTTTAATAAATATCATTTGGCATTGAGATTTTTTTTTTTTTAATTTCAATATTTATTACAACTGTTAAATAATTAACATCTAGTAGTATTGATAAATAATAACAAAAATTTAAATAAATAAGAGTGTAAAGGATAGAATTTACATGAAAATAATATCCGTAATAGGATGATTTAATATAAAATATAAGCAAATAATAATAAAAATAATATTAATAAATAATATAAATAAAATTTCAGAATAATAAAATAATACTAGAAAAATAATAAATTATAACAAAATAACAATAATAGAAATAGTAAGATAATAATAATAATAACTGAAATAATTTTTTCACCATCTATCACAACAAGTCTTGTATTGTAATCATAAGATTTTTTAATAAGAGCGTCTACGTTTATGATTCTATGATTTTTTCTCTAACAGTTTGGAAACAGTTTGTCCCGCGGATCCCTGGGTGCTCCACCGGCTATATGGAAATTGCGAAGTGCTCGCGTTAAAATATCTGCACACACGCAAACGCACACTTCCGTGTGTGTTCACATATTATTATTCCCGTCACATGAGGAAATAGCGCGATTGATTTTTTTCTCGCGAACGTATCTCAAGGATGAAGTTGTTAAAAAATAATTTCGATATTTTATTTACTTTTTAAAGAAAGCTTAAATGTAAATACATGCGAATGTTTGCCAGAGCAGAATTAAAATCGAAGCATTTTCACGATATATTGAATTGTGCAAATATTTCGGAATTATGGTTTATTTAGGTTTGATGTGAAATCTTTAAAAGTTTGATGATACAAATATATTACGATGAGTTCTTCTCAAAATGAATTTACTTTAAAGACTTCAATTGCGAGAATATTATTTGCGTACATCGTCTAAAGGATTTGATATTGATGAAGTTCTAAATAAATGATTTTCGATAAGCAAAATAAACTTTGAAACATATTTGTATAACGCGATTACTAGCATGTTTTTATTTAACATAATTTTTAACTAATTTAATACTTTTAGTTGGTTAACTAGGAATTAACAGCCACTGAATACTACTTTTTTACTGTAAATCCTATAAATAAAAAATACGGCTAAGACTTATAACAAATTCGTCTATGTTACTAGAACCCATTATTTCAATAGTAGGCCAATTTATTATCTTTAATTAATTATCAAACTAGTGGCGTAGGGCATCGTGCCTTAACGCAAATTGCTGAAACTTTCAATAAAAATTGATCAATGATTTACCACATTTGTTTTATACATTTTCAAATGGATAATTTTATTCCTTTGAATTTTTATCATTCATAAAATATACTGTGAGAATCCTATCGCTCAAAGCACTTGAGAAAGTTTACATTAGCAGGAGGTGGATGAATGAATCCATCTGAGGATATATTTCTTACGATTAGAATACGCATTTTAAATATATGCATTTTGAAACTGTATTGTAAATTTAAAATTTATATTTGAAGTGTAAAACTGATATTTTTGAAAATTTTAACTTTCCGCAGGGTAAGTTATTGTAATCGTCAAAAAATCGAAATTGAAAATTTTTACATTTCTCGACGTTTTGAAAGTTTCTGAACATTTTGGCATACCTCAGAAAAAATGGATGTGTGTGTATGTGTGTGTATGTATGTATGGATACAACTTTTCTTTCACGTCCAGCGGTTTTGAAGATACAAAGCTAAATGTGCAAAAAAGGCAGTTTTTGAGAGAACCAAGCGTCCGATTTGAATGATTTAAAAAACTTTCTGCTTGTTTTAACAAAATAATTGCTTTTGGAAAAAAAAATTTCGTTCAATTTTATTTTTATTTTTTTTAAATTTTTTTTAATAATATTTTTTTGTATATCGAAACTAATTTAGATTTCAATTGTAATTCTAACGTTCTAATGTACTTTAAACAAATATTTTTAACTTTGTAACTCAGTTTATATAATTCTTATAAATATTAGACAATATTACGATATTTATAATAATCTATTTGAAAAGATTTAATATTCCTCGAACATTTCGTTACGGCACGGGAAGTTCTAGCAATTTGTCTTAGGGCACGATGCCATATACACCACTAGTTAACTATATTTTTGAAAATTTTGAATTTTTTTTCGGAAAATTTTGAAATTTGCTTGAACCATACAAGTAAACTTTAAAAATTAAAAACTGAACAAAGTTGTAACAAAAAAATTAACACTCATTTTTAAAAACTTGTAAACAAAAATCTGATAATCTGATGTGCATATGTCTAATGATTATTTTTGACCAAAAGATATCATTTTTTTTACTTTTTTCTCTGTATCTTAGAAACCGCTAGACCTGCCTTACCAAAATTCATCAATTATTCATTTTGACATTACAAGTAAAATGTTTTTTAAATCATTCAAATCGAATACTCCGTTCTCTCAAAAACTGAATTACCGTTTTTGGCACTTTTTGCCCCATATCTCCGAAACCTTTCTTCACCAAAAACTAATCAGCAATTATCAAACTTTCATATCAATAGGAATCGAATGTTTTTTAAACCTTTCAAATCGGTTAATTTGTGCGCCCGAAATCGTGGTCGAAAAATTGTATCCAAACATACATACATACACACATACATTCATACATACATACATAATACACACACACACATATATCCATTTTTTCTGAGGTATGCCAAAATGTTCAGAAACCTTTAAACATTGAACGTAAAGATGTATACAAATTTTCATACAAATTTTTTCCCGATTACTATATCTTACCCCACGGGAAGATAATTAATATCTATTTTAAGCAATTCTATCCTAGCATGTGTATATGTATATACAAAAATTAATTTAGATAATTATTAAGCATTGTTATATGAAATTATTTCAAAATTCTATTTTTTAGGTGGCTTCATCGAGGTTCTATGTTCGTGTTTTCGACAAATCAAATCGCAAGCCTTTTAAACGCTGCTGGATATTACGAAAATCGATTTACTACCGGTTCCAAACAAATCGGAAAACCTCTTGAATTAAAAACGAAATATCAAGATAAAAAAAATTACAAGATTGTCGCCAGTCAGAATACTGAAACGTCTGAGGGAGAAACATTGCCAAATGATCAAGAAGAATTTACTTCTGGGACTGTTAGTAAATTTGCAAATTTGAAAAATATTGAAATATCAGATACTATTTTCCCTGTCAAGGGCCGTTTGTTGGATTTAGGTGCTGGTGATGGCGATATAACGGCACGAATGGAACCATTATTTGAAGAGATTTCAGTTACTGAAATATCAACTACTATGCGGAATCGTCTTGCTCAAAGAGGCTACAGGTAAATGTGAAGACTACATGAATATTAAAATTACGAATTGCAATTCGAAGTAATTTTAAAACTTATTTTTATAATTATTGTAGAAGTCACAAAAATAGAGTTTAAGGTTTTCCACAAAAATATATTTTATCTTATATATAAAATTCTCCTGTAATGATGTATGAGAATATACTTCTCCTAAAGGATTATTGGGATTTTGATAAATCTTTCTTAAGTTTGTTAAGGAATATTTTTAGGATGTACCTATGTGATTATAAAAATATAGAAATAAATGGAAAAAAATGAAAAAAACCGGCATGACATTGTTTAACTTTGAAAATATTTGAGACATTGTTTGGCATTGAAAACAAATGCAAACTGTCATCTGCCAAAAATTTCAATTTACTTATGAGCCTAGACAATATTAGAATATGTATAATAAATTCATGTTTATGAATAAGAAAAATGAAATTTCTACATTATTATTTCTAAAATGCAGCTGAGATGTGAAAGAAATTAAAATAATATAAGATACAGTGTATGCATGGCAGATTAAATGATACACATATAAACATGGTTTGACAAATTAATTCACTTAAAATATGAAATGAAGTAATAATTAGGGACATCTACCTTGAATGCGACGCATGCGAAAAATACAAGCGCACTCGTTAGGGGGCGCCAACACAAGATTCGGACATGAAATCTTCAATATAGTTTTTTTTTTTTTCAATTTAATTCAAGAAATATATCAAATTAAATATAAAACTTCAATTTTCAATACAGTGAGGGAATTGAGACTCATCATTTTATTTAAAGCAGTACATTTAAAATCGCTCGTGAAGAGTAATTTAAAAAACAATAAATATTATTTTCAAGTTAACGGTAGATATTAGTATAGGATATTGAAAAATTGTAGACGTGGGTACAGGACAACGTCTGTCGGGCCATCTAGTACTTGTTTAAATATCTATTATGCTTGAACTACACAAGCCATTTTAAGCATTATTAAAATTATAGAATTGTATACAACAATTTCATTATTATTATTATTATGTTTATATTTTAATTCTTATTTGTGATTAAACTAATTTTAATAAAGAGATTTTTTAGTGTACTAGCATTTTCACATGTATTAAAGTAGACTTTCGATAAAACGCCAAAACAGTTCTGATACTTTTAATTTCACATTTAAAACTAATTGAAGGGTTTTGAAAATTGAATTTAAAAATGTAATTAACTTAATGTAAGGTAATATTAACTTAAATTTTTACATACAGTTTCACATTTGGTAAAGATTTTATTAGATGAATATTGATTCTTAATAATACGTACAATTTTTTCCAAGAGTATTAGGATTATTGCATCAGGAATGCAACTAGTAAGTAAATATGATATTAAATTGGTAAAAATTATTTCATAAAATATATGAATTTTCTTTAACTGATAGAAGCATCTAGAAATGCATATTATATATTTTAACTACATTTTTCATTTTTCTAGTGTTTTAGATGTAAATTCATGGGCATCTCATCGACCTTATGATATGATTTCATGCCTAAACCTCCTAGATCGTTGTTCGAATCCTAAGACTTTGCTCCAGGAAGTTAGATCAGCCTTGTCGCCAAACGGATTAGTGCTAATTGCTTTGGTCCTTCCTTTTAGGCCATATGTTGAAAGAGGTACTACTTTAATTAAAGTAATATTCCAATTTTATTTGCCATCTGAACCAGGTGTTCTCTATCAGATAGTATTTATAATGTCTATAATAAATAGATAATACATAAAAAGAATTGAAAATTTGTGACCTTCTGTATCTAAAAGTAAATGTATACACCTTTTAATAATATTGTTCAATATCAATGGGTAAAAGTAATGATTTTCTATCATTTTCATATGATTGCATCTTTTACTGATTATTCGTAAAGTTAATTTAGTCGGAGGAAAATATTCCAACTTTGTAACTGAAACTTCGATTACTCTATTATGTAATACATATTTATTATTATTGTTAAGTTGTTTAGTGGTTTAAGGCAGTGATTCCCAACCTTTTTTGGGCCCCGCTCCACATTGTGGTTTCTAAAGGTCTCCCATAATTTTTTTTTTGTTCCTGAAAAAATGTGAATGATAACTTTCAAGATAAAATCACTATTAAATTGTTATTAAACATAATAAGTAAAATTTCGGAATGAGTCAAAAAAACGAAGAATTTGTTTAATGCGATACTTAAGCTTGCATGCTGCATAAAGATTTTATATTAGGTTCTAACTTACAAAGCTTCAAAATCAAGTTTACAAGTTGTGTTATTTCAAGTCTATTTCTTTTTTATCAATAAATTATAGAATTTTTTTGTATATATCATTACATTTGAGCATTTGGTTTCAGTTTCTTAACAAAGCCTGAGTCTATACTTAACTAGTTGTTAAAACGAAATTATATCTAATTTTTATTTATCTTCTTTGTTAACTAAGTAAGTGCGCATTTTTGTTAGAAAATCAAAGACAATTTTTGCCTGGAATTAAATAACTTTATTCTGTAATGCATTGACCATTTTGAACGATGACCTTTTGTTATCTTCCAAGAAGCATCATTATCCCACGTTTATAAAAATTCTAGTCTATAAAACTTTTTATTAGTAAAAACTGAATTAGACACAATCTTTTTGTCTAATTTGTTTTTTTTTTAATTCAAGAGTTTTAATCAAATGATTCATGGTCAGGTCTATTTGGTGGATGTGGAGAAACATATTTAGTTTTATATAAGCAGTTTATCGCACATATCATTTTAAGTTTGTAATAGTAATAAATATAATTATGATTTATACCCGATTGATCTTGTACATTTGGAAACTGCCATTAAGGTGTCATTGTAATTTTTAACCAAATGAATTCGTTGCGTTATGAATTTTATTATTTTAATTACATTTTAATTTCTTTGATATCAATTTCTAAGCGAATAATATTTTCAATTGATTATTATAGGTACCAAAGATCATCGGCCGCTCGAGTATCTCGATATTCAAGGATTAACATTTGAGCAGCAAGTTGAAGCATTTTTCGTGGAATTAGAGAAATTGGGTTTTGAAGTTAGAGCATGGTCCAGAGTGCCTTATTTATGTCATGGTGACCTAAATCAATCGTTTTATCATTTAGATGATGTACTTGTTGTAGCAAGCAAATTTGAAGATAAATTATGATTATTATGTTATATTTTTATATTTAATCAATAGTTTAATATTATGAAGCATTTCGAATTTTTGCACCACAAGTATTTTGAGCTGCATCTCATTAAGTATATTATGTTGTTAATGTTTACAATGTTTATTTTTCTAAATATAAAAAAAATATTTTTGTACAACTTTTATCAAATAAAGAAACTACGTTCAAGTTGATTTCTTTTGTCATTTTTCAACAGTATCCAAATTTCAATACAAAATTCTAATGCAGACTTACTCGGAAAGAAACACACAAAGATAAAATGCCGACATATTTTACTGAAGATGAAGAAACTAATTGGAAAACTATGTAGAAAATCTAAACCTTTAGAAAAAAATGCACTTGTAGAAAACTATTATCAAACCCATTTGGTTTGGTATGGCGTAGAGGTCTGAAGATGTGCTTCCAAATCACATGCATTCACGATTAAGGAAAAGTTGTTCGAAGAAATAGAATCAGCAGGATTCAGATCCATCCGAATCCAAAAACATGTGACTTCACCCAACTGGTTGTTTCAACATAAACAAACAATATTCCATTTATTAAACTTACTGTAAAAAAAAATTACTGCCGTTTTTCTTACAATTTATCAATTGTCATTGTTCAACGTAGTTCATAGAAATATCTATGAACCTAATATTTAAGGTTACTAAAAATATGATAAAGTTCAAGAAAAAATTTGGTATAAATAGAATTTTGCCTCAAATCAAATTGCATGAACTTCTCTATATGTATAAATTATTAAATAGACTCATTTTATAAAATTTGCCCTAATCAGGCCCACGCTTATTTTTTACCCATTTTCAAAACCGTTCATAGTCGTAGCTTTACTTTAGATACTCATTCAGTCTTATCATTAGATTTACCGTGAATTTATACGAGAAACCGTCCACTTCCAAAGATTACTACCACAAAATCGACATTGATTGTACTAATGCGTTATTTTACTTTGTTTTCTGTATTTTTCCATTTTTTCTTTATTTAATAGTTTACTGACAATATCTTCCTTAAGTGGCCAATGTACGAGCTTAAAAAGCCATCAAAAAATAAATAAAAACAAAAACTTCCATAAGTTTTCGTTTCGTCTTTTTTTATTACTAGTTATTTTTTACTATCTTGATTTTTTTTTGTTTAGTTCAGCTTTATTTGTATTATCATAAGCTTTTACCTTGATACAATGCATTTGATGCTCTATTCAAAAGCTGATATGGTTGGAGTCAATTTTGTTTTAACTATGTTTTTGTACTTACTAGAAGCTGGGCGTTTCTGGAGTCGGAAAATATTGTGGTAACTTGTTCTGTAAGTTTATGGCGAGAGTAATGAGAAAAACGCGAAAAATTGAGAAAACGTTGATGAAAGGTCTAATTTTGATAAATGCCAAAAAAACGATACTAATTTTTGCAAACCTTGACGAATCTTTAAAGTTAAACGAGTTGTCGCAAGGCCGTAATATTTTAGTATGATCTATAATACTATGGTATCTACCGTCAAAAAACATCATAAAAATCGTGGAATTTTTTTTTAACACTTTATTACAAGAAAACGGCCCGACCGATCTTTACCAAAAACTTATCAGGTCGATTCCCAACCTATATCTTTCGAACGGTTTTGAATTTTTAAAATCGATTCAGAATTGCGGATAAAACGTGGATAATTTTTTTTTCACTTTTGTGCGATTTACAAAGAAACGGTTCGGCCAAACGTCGCACAAAACTCACAAACGATAGTCACCGAGATACTTCGAACGGCTTTTAATTTTTTGAAATTGGTAATAATTCTGTTTACACACACATACACATACTCTTTCCAAATTTAGTCTCATTCGATTCAGAATGTCTTGAAACGTTGAGAAAACATAAAATTAGCGAATCGGATTTTTTGATGAAAACATAAACTTCTCTTTATGTTTCGGGAAGTAAAAAAATACTATTATACTTTATTACAGAATTCCAAAAATTGGTTTGAGTTAAATTTTCTTATCTTAATTTTCAAACTAATAATGGTAATTCAACAATTATATTCAAATCAACGAAATAAACCACTATTTTTTTAAATGTCATAAAATAATATTAATTGAGGTTTAACAGTATACTGCAATAGTTCTTAAGTATGGCTTAAAAATTTCTCAATTATAAGATATGAATTCAAATAAATATATATGCCGCAACTACGTCACACAATGCTCTGTGGCCATTACCAAACATAGTATGCATCAAATTTAACTATAGTTAAAAATAAAAGACAAAAATATTTGAAGTCATGTTTTAGGCGATTTTCGTTATGGAGTCATACGCATTTAAATACGATGATTGCCTCAATAGTGTGAACATAATCACGACAATCATGAAATTGTTTAACTGATTTTGCTATAAAGCTCATTGCTTTAACAATAATTTAACTATTTTAAATTAAATAAACTTACCAGTATCATATACTATTCTTAAGAATGTGAGCAACTTCTTGAATCTGATCAACAAGAATACATGTCGTTACGACAATGCACTCAAAAAATCCACACAATTTTAAAAATCACTATGTAAATTGGAAAATCAAACTATTTTGGTTGTATTAAAACCATAGTTGATGTGTTTTTGTATCAAATCATGATTTACGGACTAATTTTCTTATTTTACAGCCAAAATTTTTAAATACAACGGCATAATGCACTAACCCGACATAATGCAAAGTCACTTTATTTATGTTCGTGGCACAAGTTTGTGTGCTTCCTTGTAAGCAAAAATGTTATTTACTAGATTAGCACATCAGTATGCTAATTAGTTTAGAAACACTTATTTTTCAATAAACTTATTAACATAACAATAAAAACTGTTTTGATATAAAATGAGGATACATTGTCAAAACAAGGGACACCAACAGTCAAAAATAAAAAATATCTAAATTTCTACTCCAATTCGGTACAACTAGTGCAGTCTTGCGAGTTTCTTGCGTACTAAGGTTTGTTTCATTGATAAGTATTATTGTTTTCATTTAACTCAAAAATTTGTCACAACAATGTTAATGTCATGATTACATGAAAATTGTTATCTGTGATAATAATCAACAATTAAATTGAAATGGCATATTTACATTATAAAAGTTTTAGACGTGTACAGTTTTAGCCTGTATTAATTTTTCTATGTCATATAATAATTTTATTAGATATTCTCATTATAATATTAGGTTATAGTGTCAAATGTTATTGAAGCTTGATATAAATAATATTTTTGATGATTGAATAATTTGTAAAAAAATACTAAGATGACTACAGATATTCCAAAATATGGTCTTAAAATTCGATTAAACCATAATTATCCAGATAAAAGAGACCAGCTTTTGCGACCAACATTTTGGCAAAGTTTACAATTTATACCATTAGCTTTTAGGTAAACATGCAAATACACATATATATATATATATATATATATATATATATATACATACATATATATACATATATATGAGTAAATTCTTATAGGGCGATACATCAAAGAAAAAAACAAAGATTCATAAATTAATCTTTAATTCCAATGTTTCACAGCACAAAAATTAGCACTAACATTTATACAACTAACTTGTCAACACAATGAATTTTTATCCTTTTTCATATAAAATGTAAAAAGAATAATGATAATTTTATTTGACAAAAATGTGAAAAGTTTAGTAATTTCTGCAACGACTTGTACATAATACAGTGTCTGAGACTCTTCTAAGATGATGATACCCTTAATAACAACTTACTTATATATTTCAACATCAAAAATAACTACTAAATAATACTTATATAATAATAATCATGTATACATATATACATATTCAATTAATGGTATTATAAAATGTAAGAAAATAGATTTTGTAAATCAGAGCATTCTGCTCTTTTTTGGCTAATTTGGTTGCAAACATTGTGAAGCTACGATTCTCGCATTATAATTACTAATCCAAATTTGGTTGTAATGGAATATAATTCGAATAATTTAAGTTTTTGTTTTAAAGAATAAAATGATCAGAGACTCGAAACTTTTATAATATTGAAAGTATGTGAAAAAGTTAGTGCAGAAGATTTGTAATTCAATTAATTTTTAATAAATCGTCATTTTAATATTTTGCTAGTGACATTGGTATAGTATTGTTTAGTATAATGAATACCATCTTTTTGTTATATATTTTCTAAAAACTTTTCTAACATTTGTGCTCTCATTTTATATACATCCATTATTTGTATTATATGTTTAATTGCTTATTTGTTAATGAGTGGGAATGTTCTAATAATTGTTATTGAAATTATTTTTAGGTATGTCTGGTATTACTGGCATTTATATAGAGAAGGAAGAAGGCCATGCATGGATTATATCCACTGTGAAAATGGAAAACGAATATATGGAGTTCCCATTGGTGGCATAGGTTCAGGAACAATTGGTAAATATGAGAGTTTGAATTAAAGTTCTGCATGTGTAATGAATATTACGACATTTTATCAATTTAATGTCTGATTAATATTATTCTTTGAACAATACTTTATTTCGAGCTATTTGGTAAAGAAATATCATTATAATTATATGTATTATAATTATTATATGTATTATTATTATATATAAATAAATATCTAAATAAATATCTAAATATCTATTGATATCATTGATGACTATTCATTTGATGAACTTATAGCTTCAATTAATTTTTCGTGCATAATTACAGGTCGAGGCTTCCGAGGTGAATTTTGTAGATTTCAATTGAGACCTGGAAAATATGAATATAACACTGTAATTGCTAATCAGTTCATAATAAATATAAAAGATGCAAATAAAAAAACAATATTTCAGAGTGTTTTGTCTACATATGAGTAAGTATGCATCGTTAAAGATTAATTATAATATTATTGATTCAGTATTTATGGAATATTTCAAACATGGTATAAAAATTAAGTTAATTGAAAATTAAATTACTCTAAGAATGTGATACAATAAATTCATGTGAATATTCACACTCTGAGGAGATAATACCAGTAGCATAATAAATAAATTGTTCAGCCTCAATTTAAATGATAATTATGAAATTATTTGTTACTTTAAGTTTATTAAATTTTGTAGGAAACCAAGTAAACCTTTAGAGTGTTGGCAGTGGGAATTAAATCCTGATAAATGTAGTTATACAGGGCTGTATCCTAGATCCTGGACAGAATATGATTTGTCTGAATATGGTATAAAACTAACATGTAGACAAGTATCACCAGTAATTCCACATGAATATAAAGTAAGTTATTATCATACTTCTATACTTATACTTATTGTTTTTAGCGTTACAACTAGTTTTTTATTTATTCAATAATTTATACAAAACATATTTGAATTTGCTGTATGTATATATTTTCCAAAAATTCAAATATATTTTGTTATTGCAAATGCAGTATTATTCATTACATTTCAAATGCAATTGAATAATAATATTCAGCTAACTGATCAGTTAATTGATTTCTAAAATAAGAAAATTACCTCTAGGTTTGAAAAGCTGCATGATGCAGTGATAATTTATAACATTTTTTATTTTATGTATTTCTTTTTATTTTGGTAATAAAATACAATTGATTTTATTTATACACAAAGAGTTTATAAAAAGCTATCACTTTGTTTTTATCTACTTCTACTTCATCTGGAGACCAGTGTAATGTATTTATATATATGTGGTCAAACAAGAATTGAAAATATATTTATTAATTCATCAGGACAGTTGCTTACCGTGTGCAGTATTCGTATGGTCTGTAGATAATATTTGTTCTGAAGAGAGAACTGTTAGTATTACTTTTAGTTTCAAAAATGGAACTGGAACTGCAAAACAAGACGCTGAAGGTAAATGTTATTACATTCTTTGTAGTAACTCAAAGACTATTTTATTTATTTTCTGATAATGAAATTTAGGTAATGCATCTTCATTTAAAGTTTCTAATGAAAATATAACCTCAGTATGCATTAGCCAAGCTATTGATAATATGATTTGTACTTACAATTTATCAACTAGAAATAACGTAAAAAATATACAAGTTTCTACATGTGACAAGTTTGACCCTTGCGGTAATGGTGGGAAGTTTTGGCAAGAGTTGTATGAAAATGGATGCTTTACACAAAGAATTGATGACGGCGCATTTAAAGGTTTGTTTGTAATTTTATGAAAGACATTACATGTAAAAGTGATAAAATTTCAATTAAGGTAAAGATGTTGGAGTAGCCATTTGCGCTCAGAGCAAAATTGCACCAAACAACTCTTGCGATTTTGAGTTTGCTCTTAGTTGGGATATGCCAAGCATTCATTTCATGGGAAAGAATTTATACAAACGGTATCAAACTTGAACTAATTGTAACTACTTGAATTTTATTCACATTATCTATGCTACAATTTGATTTTAGTTACTATACGAAATATTTCGAAGGTAAAAATGCAGGCATTTTAATTGGTGAGCATGCATTAACAAATTATAAAATGTGGGAAGAGCAAATTTATAACTGGCAATCTCCTATACTGAATGACAGGTTAGTTTATTGATAACTGGGGTTATTGTAATTAGAAGTTGGTAACATAAATTTATTTATTATATTTTTTTATTTTCAAAATTTTTAATTTATTATGCAAAACTTTTTATTTCAAATTTTTTGAGATTTTCTGTTATTGCAGTGAATTGCCAGATTGGTATAAAGGATCACTATTCAATGAATTATATTATGTGAGCGATGGAGGCACTGTGCGTATTCTTCCCAAGGACAACGAATTTGATAAAAGCGATCCAAGGTATCTGATATTAACAGATAAATATTCCTAATAATGTAATACATATTAACATCATCAAGGCATTTGATATATGTAATAAATTTTATGAACATTGGTTTTTATTCACACACTTTAATTAGCATGCTGAGCTCTATATTATCTATTTCTCAATCTTTCTATGGTGTAAATTTTTGTCAACTAATTTGTAATTAATTTCTGATAATTAAAATTAGCATCGGCTCAATTACTGTATTATATTAGCATCATATAGCTTTTATATCTATATTCAAATATGATTAAATTTTTTAATGAACATGCATAAAGTTATTCATTGATTTAATTTTTAGACTAACATATTTTGTTTTAATTTTAGATACATCTATGGACGTTTTGCTTATCTGGAAGGACACGAGTATCGAATGTATAATACCTATGATGTTCATTTTTATGCATCACAAGCACTTGCAATGCAGTGGCCTAAACTTGAGGTAAGTTATTTTTTGCAAATATTTTAAACTATTGTATGAGTTTATGAGCCTAATAACTCACATTTACAAAATTACTAAACACATGTCAAAGTCTTTTGTGTATCTCATTTAGTATGTAAAATACTAATTTTATAGAACAAACTTGCATTTTATTTTTATTGTGTTTAATTAAAATATCACAGAAAATATTACCTTTTCAACATAGAAATAGTATAATATTCATGAAAGCTTCTATCTTCATTATTCTTTTCTTCTTACTGTAGTTTTTATATTTTCTAATCAATTAGAATTAGAATGAGTCAATAAAATATAGTAAAATTTGAAAGCACTATTTATTTTACTTTTTCATAATAATTTGGGTTCACATGCTCTATCATAAGTTAATATAAATTATACACCATAATTTTTAGATATTTTTATGGTACTTTTTCCAAATCGAAATCCAAGTTAATAGTCATTAGATGTTGTACTTGAATCTGAAAACATATATGTTTATTTTTTTATTTATTTTATATACATACGCGTCTGAAATGAAAATTTTATATTATCTATTTTTTGTCTACAGTAGATACAGTAAATAAAATAACTAATATTTAATAATTAATTAACCCTCTGTCGGTCGGATATTTTTTCACCTTCGAACGGTCGGAAAGGTCTGACTGGACCACCATTAATTTTACATGCATTTATATGGGATAAATGAGTTTTTGGTGCATTATATATTAACGATTATTAGTTGTAAATATTTATAGTTTTGATTTTTTCTTTTTCTTACCGTCTTTTGCGTGTGTTGAGCTTGCTTATAATAAAAATATTACATATTATATTATATAAAAAAATCAAGAAATATAAAAAAATCGTTGCTTTTTTTGTTAATTTTTCTGTTTTATATCAATGAAAAACAATATTTATTCTTTTTCGGCGCCTTTGAAATGAATGTGAAATTCAAATGAAAACGAAATGAGATGCGTCGCCTTTGAAATGAGCTGTAAAACTCAAAGTGAAAATATAATTTTACTACAGGTTTGCCAAAAAAAAATTTCGAACGCAGTACGGGTAGAAAAATTGTTGATAATGTGCGCATTACTCATCCGATTTTCAGTGTTTGCGAATACCAATAAGTTTGGTAGGTTTTCAAGGAACTCTCGTTGTGAAAATACTAACATTCATGTTACAACACACAGCAAAGAATATATACAATGCAGTTTGAATAGAAAATACCACGAAAAAAGACAAAATACTGGCTTACATATATCAAAAAGCGTATATTTCATACAAAATGTTAGGTGGTCTAGTGACAGACCTTTCCGACCGTTCGACGTATAAAAAAGTTAATATCCTTATAATTATCCTTCTGTATATTTTTGTCCTGATTTTTTCATTGATCGACAGCTAATGAAATTTTAGGAAAAGTCAAGAAATTTCAAGTACTATAAGTATTTTTTTTTAATTGAAGTCGAAAAAAGTCTGGCCAGACCACGCCGACCGACGGAGGGTTAATGATAAAGGGCAACAAAGAAAAAGTTCTCAAATTACATTTTAGATTTGAATAAATATTATTTCGTAATTTTAACCTCCACTATCCAAACTATAATCGTCAATCGAAGCGGACTCATCTGACGAATTTGGGTAGTTTATTCTGAAATCGTAAAGAATGTGTTGTAAAATGTATTTTACTTACGATCGATTTTCATTTAAATTCATTATCACTTACAATAAGTTTTCATTATCGTTAATCGACACATGCGTGCGCTCTGGTATTACTTCATTTGGGTTGTCCTCTGGTCCAATAAGGCCTGCGGCCCCGCCTGGGTCCAATCCAGGATGAGAAGTACTAACAAAAAGATAAAAAATATATATATATATATATATATATAGGGTAGAGCGGGGCTCAAAGGTCCGCGGGTAAAAAACAAGTACAGTAAAGTAAAAAGATGTGTAACCAGCCAACACTTCGATTCTTACGACGCTGCTTTCTGAAGATAAATGGCAATGATAATCGGGAGATAAAATCCATAACAAAAGAACAAAAGTATTTTCTTTCGCTGTTAGTTATTTTTTTTTGCTTTAAGCATACTCTTTCATTTGCGAGACTTTAAGGAGGCGTCCATTAATCACGTGAGGTTTTCAGGGGGAGGGGGTGATTTTGACAAAAAATCACGAAATATCACGCGGGTGAGGGAGGTGTATATAGGGTCCGGCACTCGAAGTGTAACCAATTGAAAAAGCCATAAATTCAGTTTGGGACCGTTCAAGTATTACGTAAGCACTATAGGGGGGCGGGGGGTTGTTGATTTGCTTATTTTGAGTTGACATGGGGGGCAGTAGAGTCTGGATGATGATTACGTCATAGGTAGTATCTTATTTTTTTACATTAATTGCAAAATGTTCACGTAAGCATGAGGGTAGGGGGTAAGAGCTTTGCTTACTTTTGCTGACAAGGGGGATGGGGGGGGGTAAATAATTGTAATATATCTGCTTACGTAATACTTGAACGATCCCTTTGGAAAATTACTTTTACTCGATTCAAAGTATAAAATGTGTAAAAATAATACAAAATTTAAAAACAATTCACTTTTGCTCGATATGACCACCTTTTGCTTTGACTATAGCCTTAGACGGTCCAAAAACAAATCGCATTTGGCCCCTCGAATCGAATATCCGCATGTAACAACAAGGATGAGGGAGGGTCCGAAAATCCTCAAAAACTCGCTCACGTGATTAATGGACGCCCATTAATATAATTTTTAGGTATACATTATTTAATTGTTTTATAAGATAAATTGTTAATTTTAAGTCCATTTTGTGAAAAGGATCAGGTGACAAATTTTTGAGAAAACCGGAAAAAAGACATCTATACAATGATGAATGCTGTGAGTTTTATTTAACATAGCCAGATTGTTGCTTGTTCGATTTATATTATTTGTTGTGATATAATTGGTTTGGTTTTCACAATATAATTGCTTCAATTCTAAATAGACCTTTGTGCCCAGCAGTACCCTATATAAATAAATATATATAGATTATTTTGTATGACTTGTTATGTTTAGTTAGAAATTTTAAGTTGACAAATTTTTTATAGATAATTCAGCATTATTTATATATAATAGAGAACTAAAAAATATGTTTCTTATTTCCAGTTTCTTATTTGCACATAATTGCACATAATTACATAAGTTTGTATTTGTTTTTAGTTTGTTTACTTTTTTATTAAAATTCTAAAAAGAAATGCATTTAATATATAGATTGTGCATTGTAATATTTAGATTTCTAGTGCTATGTGAATGCAAATTTTGCACCTTCGTCGATGTTTTCTCAACAATTTTACCGATTTCATAAACAAAAAGATATTTGATAAAACGTTACAATGTTTCCTGTTATTTAAACATAAAATTTTTTCAACTGCAAAATGCTGAAATTAGCTTTGAAAATACAAAAACCGAAACTATTTTTGAGTTATGTACTAATAAGTCTCTAATAAAGATAGACAGTTTTGTTAAAAGAATATAATGTTCTTTCATTTTTTGAAGATTGGTCATAATGCCTGCTTGAAATTAATCAACTAATTCTTTATTGATCAACTCGACTATATTCCATTATCGAAGAGTGCGCATAAATTTTACTAATAATTTAGAAGAAAGCTACCGGGTACGTATTTGAATCATAGATCTTATACTACATGGACTGCTAATCGAGCGCAAAATGAGTGATACTGTCACTAGTTAAGTTAGTTAATTATCAATCACGTCACTTGCTGAACGAACGTTGCCGACAATCGCGGAACTTTCCCGCTTGATTAAATGTTTTATGTTTAGCAATTGTGATGACTGATAATTTTGTAAGAAATGATAATAATATTTAATAATATTTATCATAATAGTGAAGTTAATTCAAATATTAACTTTCCATAGGGTAAGTTATAGTAATCGCAAAAAAATCGAAAATGAGAAATTTTATATATCTTTACGTTTCAAAGGTTTTTGAACATTTTGGCATACCTTAGAAAAAATGGATGTATGTGTGTGTGCGGATACAAATTTTTGTCGACGATTTCGGGAACACCGATCAACCGATTTGAATAATTCGAAAAACATTCGATTTGCATTGATAAGGAGACATGCTGATTAGTTTTTAGTGAAGGCAGGTCTAGCCGTTCCGAACATAAGGGGCAAATTGTTCCAAAAACGGTAACTCAGTTTTTACCAGGACGGAGCGTTTGATTTTAATAATTCAAACAAGATTTTACTTGTATAAACAAGATGAAGAACTGATTAAATTTTTGGGAAGGTAGGTCAAGCGGTTATGGACTCTGAATAAAAATAAGTTAAAAAAATGCCATTTTTCGGTCAAAAATGTTTATTCGACATATGTATTTCAAATTATTAGATATTTTATAGAGATTTTAATAATGTGTACACATTTTGTGTAAATTTTTTTGTGTTCCGTACCAAGATTTTTAATTATGGTACGGGAAATTCTAGCAATTTGCCTTAAGGCACGATGCCATGTACCCCACTAGTTTCAATATTATAATGGCATGGCTTCTATGTTTAAGCACTATATACAACGGAAAACATATGAGGACTAGCAGTTCATTTAGTGTAATGTCTATGATTTCAATACGATAGAATTTAATTCGTGAGCAAAGCGTTAATGAAATTTTTTAAAAAATAGGTTATAACCTAATTATCATCTTAATAATGAAGGCAAGTAGTTGCACATACAATGATGCATAAACAGTGTGCGGTGGTTTTTCGTCCAATATGTCCATTTCCATTGAGCTTGTTTCCTCAACAACAACAGTGGGCACAGTTTCCAGATCTTTTCGTATATTCTGCCACTCTCTATATAAATGTGGTTGGAATCCTGTGTTTTCATGCCATGCATGTCTACAATGTTTTTCAATCCAAACCGCCTAAAATTTAAGAATAATTAAATTGCTTTAGTTATTACTAACTTGTAAATACTTGAAAATTCTGGTGATAAAATGAAAACTTTGAAAGAATTTGTCTGAAGTTTATCTCTCGTAAAATTGAGGATGTTTGCTACAAACAACTAAACCAAAAATGGATAATGTACTGACTCCATGTATACCATAATTGAAGTATACCATACGAAACAATTTGTCTGAAGTTTATCTCGTAAAATTGAAGATGTTTGCTACAAAACAGCTAAACCAAAAATGGTAATGTACTGACTCCATTTATACCATAGTTTATATTACTACGCTTTGTTTAAGATTTTTCAAAAAAATACTAATTAGTATCTAATTAACACCTCTTTATCTGTGGGAACTCTTAATATCCTCTCAAATTTATCATCTTCTGGATCCAATAAGGATTTAGTTTTTGGATCGTAGAAACCTTCTTCATTATCATAACATCTAGGTGGAATTGTTCTTGTCGGTTGTCGATCTGTTTTTAGTGATCTTGTTCCTGGTTGTAAGCCATTTTGCATGCTTTTCCAAAACCTAAAAATATTTGAAATTATTTAATAGTTAATTAAATATATTTATGCAATAATTAATATTTTCTTAATCTATGGCAATCAAATTATTTAACATGATTAACGCACTAATTAACTTCAATCAATTATTGATGTAATCAAGTACATAGCAGGCTGTAATGTACGCCTGTGCGCATATACACAAATTTTCGGTACAAATTTTCCAATGTTAATTTAATCAATATTTAATAAATCCATGTAAAAGGGCTATTGAAACTTGAACTGAAGTTTCGCAAAATGATATAAATGGAATATCCATTCACCAGATATTTCATAAGTAATTAGACTAATAATAATACAAACTGAGGCGAATCATTTTAACGACAAGTATACTATACTGTTTATAAACACCTTCTATCCTCTTTAGTACAATATTTCCAATCTTCCGCTTGAAACTCCAGACCATCAGGAAAGACAAATTTACTTGATATCATCTTTCCCTTCTGCCATACTCCCACAACTTTGCTTCCATCTGGATATTTTAGAACCCCTTTTCCATGAAACATACCTAGTTCCACAGTGTGATTTATTAGAAATATCAGAATTATTCATTTAACTTTACTCGAAAACTGTTGAATATATATTTTATGTCATAACTTGCATGTTTATATATGTTACACGAGTTATTTAAGAAAACAAGAATGTAACTTCATTATGAATAAGATTTGTGGTTTTAAAACATTAGTATATATTAGTTATATATTGAAGGGCGTTAAGATATAGTTTAAAACTTTTGTGACTAAATCTGTACAATACTGTTTATAATTAAGATTAAGCAAGTAGGTACGAACCATCATCCATATCGCCTTCGTACACCACACAATGGGGCATTTCGTAAACACCTTTGCCTGACATTCCCAAAGAGTTCCATTCTCCAGTATACCTGTCCCAAAAGATAATTTACATTAAAAATAAAACAAATTCTCAATTGCCTAATAATTTATATCGAAAAGCTAAGGTTAATATTAGACCAGTTTTCTTCTTAATTATTTGATTAAGAAATTATTGATGAATGACAATATGGTAGGGCGGGGCACAAAGGTACAATTTGACTTTTTGCATTATACTGTAAAAACCAAACCAACTACATCGAAATAAACAATGCATATCAAATAAACACTATCTGACTATGTTTGTGAAACTCCCAAAGAGTTCCATTCTCCAGTATACCTGTCTCAAAAGATAATTTACATTAAAAATAAAACAAATTCTCAATTGCCTAATAATTTATATCGAAAAGCTAAGGTTAATATTAGACCAGTTTTCTTCTTAATTATTTGATTAAGAAATTATTGATGAATGACCAACAATATGGTAGGGCGGGGCACAAAGGTACAATTTGACTTTTTGCATTATACTGTAAAAACCAAACCAACTACATCGAAATAAACAATGCATATCAAATAAACACTATCTGACTATGTTCGTGAAACTCCCAGCTTATTGTAGAAATATTGTTATATGGTCTTTGCGGGGTAAAATGGAACAGCTAAAAGGCAAACAGGTCTAATGCTTATTTTTTATTGGTTACACCTTTGCCAAGGTATAGGTTGATTTGGTCGTTTTTACCCCACCCACATGTAAGCTTTTACTATATAAAAGAACTATTAAATCAAATCAATATCATGGACTTAAAATTATATTAAGTTATTGTAATAAACTTAGCAAAAGTGCTCTTTTCCTGGATTTTTAAACGATGCTGTTTTTCTTCCGATAGCGACTTCGTAAGTATCAAGATGGAGGCTAGTTTAACATCTTTTCCCTCTACTTTCAAATATTGTTGTTAAAAAAATCTTAACTTTACTTGTTTGGAGATATCGATGGTGAACATTTTACCCGCAAACCTTTAACCCCGCTCTACCCTAATAATAATAAAAATCAATAAAGGATTCAAGCTTTTGTCTAAATCTACTATTTTTTTTATGAAATCTATGGCTATACGAATTTCAATTCATTTGAAATTCTCAATTTAACAAATATTTTATACGTTAAAACATCTACAAACTTGCTGTTAGTCCAAAATGTTCTTGGAGGCCTTAAACTTGGAGATTCATCTACAACTGGCTGGGTTATTCCAATTTTGTCTTCGGCTTCAGTACCTAAATATGAAAATGAATAAAGTATAAATTGATTACAATCACATTGAAAATGTTTAAACTCATTTAGTGACTTGCCTTTTGTATAACCTATGAAGCGACTAACAGCATAAAATAATTGTTGCATTCGAGCTGCACCTGTTAATATAGTAGAATCGTGAAAGTTTTTTTTTTTATTAAAATTATAGTTGTTTATTATTACTAAATTATCGCTATCGATTTCAAACAAAAGTCTATCATTTTAAAAGTATTACTTTTTCGTCCTTCCACAGGCTTTCCTCCTTTATTAATTTTAATGATGGGCCGATTAGGTACATTTTGCTCATTGTGTTCCGACATAATGTACTAGATTTTATTAAATTTCATATTAGTTACACGTATTTTCATTTTGTTTAATACTATTATAAATTTTAACGTTATACCCGTTTTTTTCAAGTTTTTTGTTAAAATTTTTCCTTCTTGTTCAATTTCTATTTTATTTAATTCTGTGGTTTCTTCATTCTATTATGATAATATTAAAGCAATTGTGTTTACACTTGTTGATAATTCATTAAAAACTCAATTTTTGTTACATTTATTTACTTTATGTAAATCGTCGATTTAAAAAAAAATAACATATGAAAGCTTTGCAAGTTTCTAGATTACTCCATGTTTGACATTTTTGTGTGCAAAATATTTATGCGATAGTGGTAAAAGATCGGCGTACATGATTATGTGAAAATACACATTGAAGTTGAAAATACTCGTTATTCGCATATGGAAAATATTTTTTTTTAATTTAGTTAATTAATTAAAATTAATTATTTGCATATGGAAGATTAATGTAATTTATTATTGGATTTTATGCATAGTGCTATGGATTTGTTAAATTATCTAGTGGATCGAATCATGAGATCATTACACCTTGATATCCAGAATTACCGCACCTATTAATGTGGTCGAATGTGTAAAATATTTTATTACTGATCAATACTGCAAAAATAAAAGTTCTATATCAGAATCAACTCTTCCCGATATCTACTAAAAAACTATCAAATAAAAAAATTCTAAAACTATAACTAAGTAAATATTTACAATATTTTTAGGATAATTGTTGAAATGTGGCTGATTCAATTTTGCTATGTTTAATCAATGAAATTAAAATAAAATTCTCAACAGTTTACTTTATAAAATGTTTTATGAGATTTTTTAATTATTTGTACAGCAGTTCTATGAGCAGTGACAACAACGCAACGATTGCCCTATTTTTTGCGACGAAATTTTTACATACTTTTAATTATGATACGTTGCACCAATGTCGCGAAATATATCATATTCAAAGACAACGCAACGGTTGTCCTATTTTTTGCGACGAAATTTTTACATACTTTTAATTGTGATACAATCCGAACTATATTTGCAAGTTAAAACTACCATGACTTCTGCTTGATATCATGTTGTGCGAGCGCGGGAAGGTAGACAAGAACTATGGTGGGAGATAGTAAAGAAAAAAATCCCTCCTACCCAATTTTAGAATATTTTTGACAAAGAATAGGATATATGGTGCACTATACAATTATATGCAAGCAAATAAAATAAAAGTGATGTAAAGATTAATTATAAAATGTATGATGACTAATGTACGTGTATACGCTAAGTCAACAAATGAACAATAAAAAAAAATGTTCTCCATTTTACTGAGAGAATATTTCGTAACACATTATTAAGTTTTTCGATTATTATTTTGAAATTCTAAAACTTTATAAAATATGAATATGCAATTTTTTTCTATTATTTGATAAAATTTTATGTATATTTGTTATAACTTATTATAAGTGAAGTTATTTCCAAATCTCAAACTTCTGGCAATGTGCATCTGGGAACAATAATCTTTCCAAATTCTGTACCTCTAATTATGTTTTTAGATGGTGCTCCAAACGGAATTCATTGCTAGTATTGACTTGGAAATAAAAGACGAAGTAAAATATTTATACGATGGAGTGAAAGGGGAACGCAAAATCAAATGTTCTGTTCCTCATGATCTTGGAGACCCATGTGAGCTTTTAATATTCGAATATTTAAGTTTAACCAAATATTGATTTGTTGAAATAGGTTTACAATCGCATTTAATTTTTTCGCCTTTGTTAGGGGAAGAGCCATTTGTTTTAGTTAATACATATCCAATTCATGATGTATCAGAGTGGAGGGACCTTAATGTGAAATTAGTACTACAGTTGTATCGAGACTATCGCATGAAAAACTTTAATAAGGGAATTTTGCAGGAAGAAACTTATGATGACAAGTACGCATATTTCTAAAATTATACAAATATATTTATAATTTTAAATAGTCTATGCCATTCCAAAACCTGAATGGATAAGAATCTTGTTATAATATGGATCTAAAATGTTGTTTTACACGGCCGGATGAGTGCAATTTTATTTGAAGAAATAATCTGTTTTATGAAAATGTCTTTTTTTGTTTTTGCTAGATGGTTGGTTGAAATATACCACGAAAGCAAAAAATTGATTGAGAAGTGTTTGAAATGGGATACCGATGACGATGGATTGATAGAAAATAGTGATAGTCCTGATCAAACGTATGACACATGGGTTATGAAAGGACCCAGGTTAGTTTATTATTACAGTCATAGCAATCTAAAAGAATAGTTGACGATGAATGCATTTGATCGATTTATGTTAATGTTTAATAGTCAACTATTTTATTTGTTTCTTTGAGGTATATGGAGATTTTCAATTATTTAATAACAATTTTTCATAATATAATTATTATTTTTTATACTAAAATCATTTTATATTTATAGTGCCTATTGTGCTGGGTTATGGCTGGCGGCCTTGCATTGCGTTGTGGATATGGCCAACAATTTAAACTATAAAGATGATTTTGATAGATATAAATCTATTTTGGATAAAGGGAAAAAATCGTTTGATGAAAAACTTTGGAATGGAAAGTATTACAGATTTGACACCTCTGGACGGAATAACACAATAATGTCGGATCAACTATGCGGACATTGGTATATGAAGCTTTGTGGATTTGACTATGAGGTATTTATAAAAACTGTATATATTGTTTGATTATTCAATTACAAAACTTTAAAAGTTTCGGTAGGTTTGAAATTGATTATTTTATTAAATTGAAGTAATTGCTGATTAATAAATTCTATAATATTAGTTCACACAGTGGATTATGTTAAACAACGCCTAAATAAATATTGTTTTCGCAACATCACTCATTATGTAATTGAGTTTGAATAACTTCATGTAATTAAAATTAACGTATATTCATTGACTGCTTGTATTTTTTTTACTTTTTCGCTGGCGATATAATCTCATTCTTTGAACAGCTGTAATATCTGTCTTGCCTATAAAATATTTTTCATTCTAATAACTTCAAAGATTAATAGAAACTACGAATGATTGAAATAATTTCTAATCAATAAACTTACGTTTAGTGCACAAATGTTTAATTAGTTTTATTATTTTCAAGGAACAGTGTAAAATATTCTTCTGATCCAAGCATTTTTCAAGATTTGTACTACGATGTAACTTTAAAATGTATATCTATGTCGATTTGCTTGTTGATATTGGTACGCATACAACGACATATCTCTATTCACATACACGACTGCTAATCACAATCGACCCGTATTGAAATGATTTCATCGAGAGCGATTGACAACATTTGTACGGATTTACACCTTAGCCGCGCCTAAAGAAGTTTTACTTCAATCATATTTTTTATATCCCTGACGCATGCTCATTTGCTTCATAAATATATTAAGAAATATTTCCAGAAGCTTTTTTTGCTGAAGTATTATTAACTTCCCGTAGGGCAAGTTATAGTAATCGCAAAAAAATCGAAAATGAAAATTTTTATATATCTTTACGTTTCAAAGGTTTCTGAACATTTTGGCATACCTTAGAAAAAATGGATGTATGTGTGTGTGTGTGTGTGTGTGTGTATGTATGTATGTATGTATGTATGTATGTATGTATGTATGTATGTGCGTGTGTGTATGTATGTGCGGATACAAATTTTCGTCGACGATTTCGGGAACACGGATCAACCGATTTGAATAATTCAAAAAACATTCGATTTGTATTGATAAGGAGACGTGCTGATTAGTTTTTGGCGAAGGCAGGTCTAGCCGTTCCGAAGATACGGGGCAAAAAGTGCCGAAAACGGTAACTCAGTTTTTAAGAGAACGGAGCGTCCGATTTGAATAATTCAAAAAACATTTCACTTGTATTGACAAGGTGAAGAATCGATAAAATTTTCATGAAGGTAGGTCTAGCGGTTTCGGAGATATGGAGGAAAAAGTAAAAAAATGAGCCATTTGGCGGTCAAAAATGATCATTAGACATATGCACATCAAATTATCAGATATTTTATAGAGATTTTAACAATAAGTATACATTTTGTTAACATTTCTATGGGTTCCGTACCAATGCTTATGCGTTAGACAGCGACGCGGCGCTTAAGCGCTTTATATTTTGTCCCTATGCAGTTAAAGCAGTACGATTGCTTTCAAAAAAATTTCAGATCTTCTACAATATGTCAAATACAGAAAAAAAAAATTTTTTTCAAAAAAAAAAATGTTTTTTTAAAAAAAAATTTTTTTTTTCAAAGAAAAGTTATTTTTTGTCCAATTTATAGTTTCTCAAAAATCTTATTCTTTCAAAGTAATTTTTTTTCAAAAATGTTAATTGTTTTTAAAAAAATAATAATTTTTGGTACGGGAAGTTCCAGCAATTTGCCTTAAGGCACGATGCCTTAATTGCCTTAAGACAGAATTCCACTTACAGCTAGTTATAACTACTTTGGGTAAGTTAAATTCTAATTCGAATCTTGTAGTCTGTGACAAACTCCAACTAGAAGTACAATGTAAGATTATTCACCCCATGTGAAGTCGTTGTGCCCAAGGCGCCATTTTTTTAAATATATTTTTTAAATGAAATTGTATATTACTCCAGAACGGGTCCATTGTTGTTGTCACCAAATACACACACATATATAAATAAATATATATTTTGCAGGTTTTTCCAAAAGATAGAGTAAAAAATGCCTTGAAGACCATATTCCACAACAATGTAATGTCATTTCGTGATGGAAGCATAGGCGCCGTCAATGGGTTTATTCCAGCTGATGCTAGTGATGACCAGGATGGTAATGATAGTGTAAATAAAAATATAGATTCTGATGCAATTTCTCGTAAGGGTTGTGCTGACCCAACAACAATTCAATCTGAAGAAATATGGACTGGTGTTACGTACGCCCTTGCTTCTACTATGATCTTCGAGGTAATGCTTATCAGTTTTTTTGAAGCTTTTGAACAGCGAATATTTCTGTTGAGAATTTATTGACTAAAGATAATGTTGTTCCGTTTTTTTAAGAAAATTCAAATCGCAGTAGCTTTGCCACTTTAAGTTTGAAATAAAAAATATTTTCAAAATAATATCAATAGCTACATGGTACTTTGTGCATGATTTTTATTTATGAGACAGAAACACTTGATTAATTTTTCCCGCTTTTATTCTTTGCAGGGCATGATTGAAGAAGCATTCAAAACCGCTGAAGGTTTGAGTAAATCATTATTCGAAATGGGCATGAACTTTGAAACACCTGAAGCTTTATATGCTGAAAAACATTATCGTGCTATTGGGTACATGAGACCGCTCAGTATTTGGTCAATGCAATTTGCCTGGGAACAAAGAAAAAACAAAAGGAAATAAAGACACATATAAGTATTATTTGAATTTGTGATAATTTATTTTAAGTTGTATTTTTAATAATAAAGATTTATTATATAAGATTGATGATATCGTAAATGTGAGATATTAGCGATCGTGGTACAACGGTCTTTTTAGTGAAGTATCGAACTTTCTGAATTGCAATCAACTTTAGTTAGTGTGCTAACAATTTTGTGTGAAATATTTATAATACATTGTTTCTATTATACATAACGAATCGATATACAATTTACAAAAACAGTTTATTTGGCAAACATGTAGAATTGATGGTATTGATATTATTGTTCCGAAGTTTGTTTTTGCCAGACAATCATTTGCTAATTTTATGTTTTGTGATGTTCCAAGTCATTCTGAATCGTTTAACAATATAATTGGAAATAGTATTTTAATTATTTAATAGATTTCAAATATTTAAAAGCCATTTGATAAGGACTAACGATGATTAATTTGGGGAACAATCGGCCGAGCTATTTCGTGATAATTATCAGATAAATGCAAAATTTTGCGGCAACGTTTTCGCCAAATATCTAGAACTGATTTTGAAAATTCAAAAACAGTTCCAAATATATTATTGGAAAATTGATAATTCTTAATAAAAAGTTAAACCTTTTTATTTTTTCAAAATAAACAGTTGATAATTTTATCGTCACGATCTCGAAAGTTGCTAAATCTCAATTCTTACTGATTATTTCGATTATTTGCACATATCGGGAAGTTTTGCCTTCAGGCAAAACGGTACTTATATCTAGATTTTTTGGATGGCATTTATTTCCGAAATTCGATAGTTTGCAACATTAGAACTTAGAAAAATTAAGGTTTACTCACGTAAAAGATATTATGTGAGTGATTAAATAACATTTTTGTTATATGCATAACGCATATATAGATTTTTAATTAAAATTTTAGGTGTTGGCAATTCTTTGTTGTGATCTATGTTATGGGATAATCATTTGGTAATACTTTCATATATTCTAATTAGCTTATTTTAAGATACTTTTAGGATTACACTAGTATTTGATACATGCATTATTTGTAATGAAGTATTTTACCACGAAATCATAAGATTTTAAAAATATTATTGATTTATTTATTTCAAAATTTAGGAGAGCGCATTATTTTTTCGTTTTCTTACAGCCCTTCTTGTGACGATAGGACTATAGGGTGATTAATTATATATAAAACGACTAAACCAATTGAAACAAGTTTTAAAAAATTGAAAATTTGGAAGTTATTGCAAAGTTTGTATCCAAACTTATGATTTTTAATACTATTTTTTATTTTCATTATTTTGTTATAAAATCATTTGTTTAGACGATATGATTTGTTTTAAGCAATATCTTTGCACGTTGATTTGAATGTACGATGGATCAATTTTAACTATTACAATTATTCTGAGCTATGAAAATATATGCCTGGACACGTAAATATAATATTGGTAATAAGAGAGTTTATTACTTGCAAATTTATAATGGACTAAAGAAAGTTATATGATACTTGGTGATAAAATTATACAACTCCTTTACTGGCGAGTTATGAAAAAAATGATCCAAACTAATTCTACTAAAGTTGTTTGTAATGTTCATTAACGTATAAAGTAAAATTTTGCATAATGTTTATTAACTTCCCGTAGGATAAGTTATAGTAATCACAAAAAATCGAAAATTCAAATTTTTATATATCTTTACCTTTCAAAGGTTTCTGAATATTTATTTTGGCATACCTTAGAAAAAATGGATGTACGTGTGTGTATAATACAAATTTTCGTCGAAGATTTCAGGAACACCGATCAACCTATTTGAATAATTTAAAAAACATTTGATTCGTATTCGACGTGCTGATTAGTTTCTGACGAATGCAGATCTAGCCGTTCCGAAGATACGGGGCAAAAAGCGCCAAAAACGATAACTCAGTTTTTAAGAGAACGGAGCGTCCGATTTTAATAATTCAAAAAACATTTTTTTTGTATTGACAACATGAAGAACTGATTAAATTTTTAGAAAGGCAGGTCCAGCGTTTATGGACTCTCAATGCAAATAAGTTAGAAAAATTACATTTGACGGTCTAAAATGTTTATTGGACATATCGATGGTTTTCTGACGCAACCTCGTAACTCGATTTTTGACGATTTTGAGTTTTAATCGGAAAATCAATCACTAGATATAGACGCATAGATCTGTGAAAAAAAAATCAACCGAACGTTTTTTATTGAGAAAAATGCAATCACGTATCTCAATTCAGAAAAATGTGCCATGCGCAACCTCGTATCTCAGAATACATGGTGAAGTATATAAACAAGTTTCGCTGTCAGCAATGTTGTTTAATTCAATCCATAGATATAAGAAGAGTAAGAAAAGAGAGTGGTTCAATCTTTCTAATAAAAATTATTATTCATTCAAGTTAATTGTTATTAAAACTTAATGAACGATCGTTAATAAATACATTTATTATTTACTTACCGCAAGTTATAGTAATTTTCCTAAAATTGAAAATGAAACTTTTTGCATATTTAACGTTTCAGAGGTTTTCGGGAGCACGGATCAACCGATTTGAAACATTCAAAAAGCAATCGTTTCCTATTGAAAAAACAGAGCATCCGATTTAAATTATTTAAAAACATTCAATTTGTATTGATGACGTGGTGATTAGTTTCTGGAAAAGACAGGCCCAGTCGTTTCAAAGCTTCCGATTCGAATGATTCAAATAACATTTTGCAGTATAAAGAATCGATTAGTTTAGGAAGGCAGAATTTTTTTTGTCCATTTTTTTTAATTTACAATTATTTCTTTTAGACCAAGAGCCCGTGGGCGGATGACAGTATGTATTTTACGACACCTGAGATTTTGTGCATCGATTCCTCTATAACTATCATACATGAGATGGGGACTGACTAAGCCCAAACTGGCGGACACAGCTACTGCGCAGCTGGTAAAGGTACCTTTTTTTCGACCATATCCGAACCATTTTACGACGGTTGCCGTTTCGAAAATTTGAAAATATAATATTATTACTATCGTAAAATAACAATGGCAGACGATTATCGCGCGGTCAACATATGGTGGCAGACGATTTTGAAAATGCAGAAAAAAAAATTTTTTGAATGTATTTTATGATGTCTGCCATTTACATATTTTATTCCTTATAGTATCAAAACCTTATATTTATCACGGCAGACGTGTACCTGGCGTACTAACATCAGCAGAGTTAAAAAACTCAGCTACCATCTGGCCTGATAGTATGCATAAATCTCCACGTTTTAAACGGATAAAAGCAATTTTTTCATAATGATAATAGAAATTATTATTTTTTAGTCTATATGTGACATTCAATAATGTTGATGAGCGGAAAAAAACATTTTTTTACGCTAAATTCATAAAGATTAAAGTATACAAACGATAACAACAATTATTGTAATCATTATTCAATTTTTTTATTTATTTTAGTCTAATTTCAAAATGTTGTATAAAAATAAAGTTATACATTATTATATATTATATATATATATATATATATATATATATATATACTTTATTTGTCATCATCTCGGAGCCATATCTCTCTTTTGATGATTCCTCATCATCCGCTGAATCAGATTCTATAAAATAATAAGTCAATTAAAATCAAAATTATTTCAAAATCCAACTAAAGATGTTTGATAAAGACGAGATTCTTCGACTATACTTAAAAAAATTAAAAAATAATAATAATATAAAAGCTGAAAAGTATTAAAAAGATCTTGTATGGGGGTTCTTTGTTAAATTTTCTTCACCAAGTGTAGCAAACGTTTGTTGAAGATCGATTTTTTTTAGAGAATTGTAAGGTCTTTTTTTTCTTTGTTAAAGAAGGCTGGATTGAAATCACAACCAGTAAAAGCGTAACAACAAATTGAACTTTTGGCAAACAACTTCGTAATGTTAATATATCTCTGGTTATTTTCAACCCCATTTAGCATCCAAATATTTGAATCACTATATTTCTTAGTTATCTCATATTACCAAATCATATTACCAATATTATACTGATATTTTGCAGTATCGAGGGTCCTAAAATATTGGAACGATATACTCAGCGATGTTACGCGCGTTTGTGTCAGGTTCTTCATGGGAAGTACAACAAAAATCTTCAACAACACGCGATTGGACATTTTGATTAGCAACCTTGTACAATTGGCAGTCTCAAAAATTCAAATAAATTAACAAAATTTAAATAAAAAATATCGGTCTTCAACAAGGGTTTGCTACACACGGTTTAGCAAAGAAGAAAATTTAATAGAAAACCACCTAAATTATTTGCCAAATATATAATGCAAAAAGACCTAATGACGTGGTTGTGGAAGGTACAAACTATTCATTAATAACTATAAAGCTTACAACGTCAATAAAGAATTCAGCAGAAAAATTCTAAATTTTGGTGCAAGTTCAATCCCGTACTTTATCAACAATTATTAAGAGCCACTATAACTATATTAGGAATAATGTCTACAATAAGCAACCAACATTGTAGGGCGCATTAAAGTATGGTCGGAGAATCTCGTCTTTATCAAACATCTTTAGTTGGATTTTGAAATAATTTTTATTTTACAATTGACTTATTATTTTATAGAATCTTATTCAGCGGATGATGAGGAATCATCAAAAGAGAGATGTGGCTCCGAGATGATGACAAATAAAGTATATATATATATACATATATATATATATATATAATATATAATAATGTATAACTTTTTTATACAACATTTTGAAATTAGACTAAAATAAATAAAAAATTGAATAATGATTACAATAATTGTTGTTATCGTTTGTATACTTTAATCTTTATGAATTTAGCGTAAAAAAATGTTTTTTTCCGCTCATCAACATTATTGAATGTCACATATAGACTAAAAATAATAATTTCTATTATCATTATGAAAAAATTGCTTTTATCCGTTTAAAAACGTGGAGATTTATGCATACTATCAGGCCAGATGGTAGCTGAGTTTT